CTAGGTTAAGCATCCTACAAGGGCCTATAAATAGGAGGCCTCAAGACGAAAGAAGGGGCCAGAAAAACCTAGCATTGAGAAGAAGCAGAAAACTCCCTGCATTCTTCACCTACACTTTGGAAGAGCCTCCAAGCACAACAAATACGTGCCGGTTCCTCCACCCTAGAAAATCCCAAACACCAAACAAGCCTTGTGCTACCCGTTTGATCAAGATCAAGTCTCTACGACCCTTGCATCAAACACAAATTTTCTTTATACATTTTGGAGATCGAATCAGAGGATTCAATACAGAGATTGTAACCCTAAATGTCATAAATACAAATATTATTTTGTACACGTGTTCTTGTCTCATTTGTTGTAGGAAATTCGTGTTTACAAATTTGGCACGCCCGGTGGGACCATCTCTACCTCTCATCTCTTTCTCCAGTTCCAAAATCAACCAACACGCCAAACACGATGGCCTCTAAGAAGATTCAAACTGTTCCTGTGGCGAAAGGGAAAAGCGTGAGCGCTTCCTTCTCAAGCGAAGATTCTGCTGGGGTCGTCACCCAGAGCAAGGCCAAGGCGATATCCGCAACTCCACAGGTCACTTCCATACCGACTTAAGCCAAGGAACCGAAGGCGTGAACCGGTTATCAATCTGGCCTCCTTGGGGGCAAAGAAGAATACCTCCCGGGCAGATGAGAGAAATTCTCGGAATGAAGAAAGGAGTTTTTCGGGCTCGAAGAATTCAAGAGAACGTTCCCTCTCGCTTGTTTCAAACGCTGACTCGAGCACAGGCTCATACCATGGATCCCCGCCTAACGACCAACAGAAGAAGATTGCCTCGGCGTCCATAGATGAGTCTTATTCTATGGCCATGCAGGTTTTGGTGACGGGAGCATTGTCTATTGAAGAACAGCTGGCCCATATGAGCGAAGCGGCCACGAAACTGACGAAGATGGTCGAAGAGAAGGATGCACAGATTGCTTCTCTCATCAACAAGTGGGAAGCACATCAGGATAAAGAGCCTGGTCAAGATGCAAACAAGAAAGGACCACATCATGAGGCTGAATCTAGCGAGAAAGGATTGGGTCATGAAACAGAGTCGGGTGAGAAGTCGCACGAAAAAATTGACACCGCCTCGGTGGGTTATTTGTCGGTTCAACAACTTCAGGACATGATCACGAACACCATCAGAGTTCAATACGGAGCACCTTCTCGAGACACGCTCATGTATTCTAAGCCATACACCAAGAGGATAGACAACTTGCGGATGCCGACGGGATATCAACCTCCCAAGTTCCAACAATTCGACGGAAAGGGCAATCCAAAACAACACATTTCACACTTCGTCGAAACATGTAACAATGCTGGAACGGAGGGCGACCACTTGGTGAAGCAATTTGTTCGGTCACTGAAGGGAAATGCATTTGATTGGTATGTAGACTTGGAGTTCGAGTCTCTTGACATTGGGACCAAATGGAGCGAGAATTCTTGAACAGATTCTATAGTACTCGTCACACCGTGAGTATGATGGAACTCACAAATACCAAGCAATGGAAAGATGAACCTGTCGTTGATTACATCAATCGATGGCGTTCATTAAGCTTGGATTGCAAAGATAGGCTTTTGGAGATATCAGCAGTTGAGATGTGCATTCAAGGGATGCATTGGGGGTTACTCTACATTCTACAAGGAATTAAACCCCGCACGTTTGAGGAGCTAGCCACTCGTGCCCATGATATGGAGTTAAGCATCGTCAGCCACGGAGGAAAGCATGAGCCCGTCATCGAGCATAAAAAGGAGAAAGTCTTTGGACAAAAGACAGATAAGCCGGTCAAGAAGCCTACCAAGGAAGCAATGACAATCAACACTGTCCCGGTCAAAATCTCCACCCGAGATAAGAAGAGGAAAGTCAAAAGGATGGAGTCATCCTGAGAGGTAGATAAACGTCGGCACACCTTGAAGGAATTGGAGGAGAAAACGTACCCTTTTCCTGATTCTGATGTCGCAGGTATGCTTGAGGATTTGCTGGAAAAGAAGGTGATCGAATTGCCGGAATGTAAGCGGCCTAAGGAGATGAACCGGGTCAACGACCCTAAATTTTGCAAATACCACAGAATTGTCAGCCATCCAGTAGAAAAGTGCTTCGTGTTGAAGGAGCTAATTATGAACTTAGCTAGGCAAGGAAGGATCGAGTTGGATGTTGACGAAATTGCAGAGGTGAATGTTGCCACAATTGTGTTTGGATCCTTTGATCCGGTGCCGTTGCCCGTATTGTCAAAAAGATCGGAGTTTCAATCTACAAGGGGCATTGCTGGAAAAGAAGGTGATCGAATTGCCGGAATGTAAGCAGCCTAAGGAGATGAACCGGGTCAACGACCCTAAATTTTGCAAATACCACTGAATTGTCAGCCATCCAGTAGAAAAGTGCTTCGTGTTGAAGAAGCTAATTATGAACTTAGCTAGGCAAGGAAGGATCGAGTTGGATGTTGACGAAATTACAGAGGTGAACGTTGCCACAATTGTGTTCGGATCCTTTGATCTGGTGCCGTTGCCCATATTGTCAAAAAGATCGGAGTTTCAATCTACAAGGGGCATACACCAGAAGACTGGTCTATGTACAAAAGAAGTGGTGGGCGAACCAAAAAATCAATGTGGTGATGGCTTTGTGGGTAACTCGTCTTTTGATGACAATGAAGGATGGACGCTCGTTACTCGGCGGAAGTCTCGTACGAAGCGCATTCCTCAACGACAAATTGCTCAATCAAAGAAGGAGCGGCGAAAGAGAGGCTCGCACCAACATTCTAAGAACAAAACCAGACGGATGGTGAGGAGAGACTCCGAACAAGAAGATGGACCATTAATCCAAGGGCCACGAACTCCAGTTATGCTAGGAGAATACTTTCCCAAAGTGTTCTTCGTAAGAGGGCCAACAGAGACAGTCCATATGACAACTTGCTATCAGGTAGATGACGAAGATGCCTCGGAAAGAAGATATGAAACTCATGAAGAGCAAAAGGTCTCAACACAGGCAAAAAATCCACCAGCGCATTCAAATATTGAAGAAGCGGTGGAACTCCCTGAAGCCATACGTGTAGCATTGGTAAAGGCATTAATGGATCTCGATATCCAACCAAATAAGATAAGAAAGACCGGAGAATTAGAGCCTGAGCCTCAAGACCATGCTATTTGCTACGCGACGTGCGCTTCCATCACATTCACCGATGAAGACCTCTTGTTAGGATCTAAACCACATAATCGTCCGCTTTTCGTGTCAGGGTATGTGCGAGAACAAAAACTTAGTCGCATGCTTGTGGACGGAGGTTCAACAGTAAACATCATGCCTAAATCCACGATGATGAAGTTAGGCATCACCATGGATGAATTGTCTCGCAGTCGTCTCATGATTCAAGGCTTCAATCAAAGAGGTTTCACCCTTACATCAATGTTTCAAATTTTACAGAGGAGGAGTAAAGAAAATCTTGGGTGACGTTAAACCATTTACTGAAGCCGAGTCTTACTTCGCGGACGCCAAATTTTACATGGATGAAGACGTGGTATCTGAAGTTATTCCCGTGGAGGTTCACTCGACAGGAAAAGCCATGCCAAGAAGAGAAGATCATTCAAAGTGCCCTCCCGCTGCAGAGAATGTTTCGAAGAAGTCAAAAAGCACTTTGTCCGGACAAATGGGATCATCACCGACAGATTCACGGAAGGTGTCTACTCCCGTCCTCAGCTATGTCTCATCATCCCGACGGAAGGAAGGACAATCCCCATTTGGAGAAGAAGGAGTCGACAACCATACCTTTACCAAAGTTGAATAATTTAGACGTTTCGAAATCTTTGGTACCAGGGTTCGTCAGACCATCACAAGAGGCAACAAGACACGAATCTCTTCCGGTCACAAGAACAAAAGAAGGTTTTGACCCTAATGCTTATAAGCTCATGTCAAAGGCAGGTTATGACTTCGGCTTATCTTCTTCGATGGGAGAGCTTAATCCAGATGTCACAGGAGAAAGGAAGCATGGCCTTAGAGAAACCCAAAAGAAGTTGAAGGAGCAAGGTTACACAATTGACTCAGCTAGAGCAGGCCTAGGTTTTACTCCTGTTGCACCTGTCAAGATCTCTGCTAGAAGAAAAGAAAAGAAAGCAGAAGCTCAACATATTAGTGTCGAAGCAGTTGAGGAGGAAGAAGAACCAAAGGCTGTTAAGAGAGCCTCAGTGTTCGACCGTTCAGCCAAGCCTACCTAGCGGACCTCAGTTTTCAGCCACATCAAATAATCAACATCACGACCTTCTGTGTTCAAAAGGATAACTGGGCATGATAGCCAAATGGGAATTCAATCAGCCCCACGCAGATCAGCGCTAAAAAGACTTGGGGTTCCAAGCAAGTTGTCTGAAGGGAAAAATTAGAAAGAATTGAAAACTAGAGTTCATGTCGATTCAACGGAAGACAATGAAATTCGGAGCTTAATCCCGTCACGTATGAAACGTCACTCTACATTAGACGTAACTTCAAGTGACCAACTCAAAGTGAAATGACAGACAATCATACAAACTCGGGAAACTTTGAGTCAGCAAAACAAAAGTGACGATGAAGAAGCGGAGGTTCTAGCTGTTCATCATGTTACGATCAAAGAGCTCGACGAAGAGGAACCTTTCGATGAGGAGGTTCATGATGCTCCTGCCGCATTAGAAGATGGAGGCCAAGCGACTATTGATGAATTAAAAGAACTCAATCTGGGCACAAATGAAGACCCAAGACCTATCTTCATTAGTGCACTTTTGAATCCTAGTGAAGAGGAGTCCTATCATCAACTGCTACTTGAGTATAAAGATGTCTTTGCTTGGACGTACAAGGAGATGCCAGGCCTTGATTCGAAGGTTGTTGTCCATCACCTTGCAGTCAAACCTGTAACGCGCCCAATCAAGCAAACTCAACGTCGCTTCCGTCCGGAGCTCCTAAGTCAATTAGGGAGGTGAAATACCCGACGTGGATAGCGAACATCGTTCCGATGAAGAAGAAAATCACTGGACAAATTCGTATTTGTGTTGACTTCCGAGACTTAAACGAGGCTTGCCAGAACGATGACTTTCCATTGCCCATAATTGAGCTCATGGTTGATGCAACCACAGGTGATGAAGCCTTATCTTTCATGGATGGTTCATCTGGATACAATCAAATAAGAATGTCACCAGAGGACGAAGAACTCACAGCCTTCCACACTCCGAAAGGAATTTACTGTTACAAAGTGATGCCATTTGGCCCCAAGAATGCAGGTGCGACCTATCAACGTGCAATGCAAAAGATCTTTGGTGACATGCTTCATAAGAATGTCGAGTGCTACGTTGATGACCTGGTGATCAAGTCAAAAAGAAGAGAAGATCACTTGAAAGACTTGAGAATGGTGTTTAA